GCCCCGGGAAAATCCAATAAAGATTTTAAAAGATGGCCAAAACACAACATGAAATAAGTACTGGCTCCAAACTCCAGCTTAACATAATGTGATTCATTAATAAAGTCTGGGAGTTGTTAGAAAACACATTAATCTTCTGTCATGTTCATTTTGCCCATTTTCAGAAGGAGATTGGGTCCATCGGCTAAAGCCGGGTGGCCACAACAGCTCTGCTTTTCCATTCTAAATTAATTAGCCAAAGCGCTGCCTAATCATCGGTGGGCTTTGACTTGTCAATTAAAATTCAATTAGCCCAGCTCCCACGCTGGGTGAAGCAAAAACACAAAAGACTAAATATAGGACAAGAGCTGAGATAGCCATAGCACAAAAGCATCACGCAGCTATTCCTGTGCTATCAGAAGATGGTAGAATGCAAATGGGTACGAGCACTTGCACACACGCATTTACAAGAATAGTGCACTCCAGGGATGAGAGCGACCTTGGGAAGTCACTGCTACATCTCCGTGACAGGAATGGTTAGGCTTAAAACTGCTCCCTCAAAAATGTTTGCCTAAATCAAGCCAAAGATTAAAGTCTATGACCTCCTCAAGCCATCTATTCCTCTCTAGAATAGATTTTACGATCTTCCTTTATACTTCTTTGCTATGTAGACCTCTGATCATATTTGATGCTTGATTGGATTTATTCCAATTAGCTCATATATAGTGCCCAAACCTAAGACCATCTGCTTATACATGTGCTATCTGAACTAAACAAAACCAGTGCAATTACACATAAATGTAATACGTAAATTAATAAATGTAATAAATGTAAATTCTCTTAACATCACAGACCAGACCACTCCACGGAAATTGTTTCAGCTGGATCAGCTGCCACCATCAAAACTCTGCAGGCAACACATGAGCAAGGGAAGATCACAGGCACACAACCGAATCGTGCTAAAGCATTAACAGGGACTCAAGGTGCTGCTCTAATGCAGTCACTCCAGGATAGCCTGGGTTCAGGAAGGCAAATCTTCCCAAAACAAGATGACTGTCAAGAATTAAGGAGGCGAGGGGAATTAAAAACTGGTCTCTACTGACTCTTATAATTTTAATTTCCTGAAGCAGCCAAAAATACCCCTGACAGTTTGACAGTGTTCCTTTCTGGTTTATAGTACAGATTTAATATCTGCAAAGTGAGCGAACCATACTAAACGTGAGATAAATTAATCACTGCTATAGTAACTATGCCAAATTACTGCAATGCAACCAAAACTATATTAATTTTCTTATGGACTTAAAGAACATATGAATTACTAAATTGCCTAAAGAATAGATTTATAACCTTTTTATTTAGTCATTAATGGCTTGAAATCATACCACATTTTCACAAGACATTCCTCTGAATTTGTCCTATTAATGATCACAAACAAGCCCTGCTCAGAATGCCTCAGGCTAGATCAGTGTTGTCCTCTTTGGTTCATCTCCAAGCAGATGTTGGATTTTTTTTTAAAATGCAATTATTACCCACTAAGTATAACATCCAAAGAAGCTTAACTTTTCAAAATAATGTAACATGATGGACTACTGAACTGTTTATAGTTTTAGTTTGATTTTTCTTTCTAGTCATCTGAAATAAGAAAATGGAGGATTCTAAACGAACCTGATATTCACACAGATTCATTTTAGACTAGATAGCTTTGTTTTGTTTTTACCAAGGTCATAAAAGACTGACTTAATGAGTATAATCATTCAGGACTTTTCCTGTAAACTTAATAAGAAAAGCGAACAGAACCTTAATGAAACAAGAAATGAGACTACAGGAAAAAGAAACACAAAGCGAACTCTAGAAGAAGCTGTAACAGGAGGTAAGTAATCAAAGATGTATGTTGCCAATTAGATTAGTGAATTTAATTAGTATAAGCACTTCACCCATGAAAGGACAGGAGATATTATTGTAAGTAGGAGGAAAATCCACAGATGTCCTTGATGGCAACATTTCTTAAGACCCCATCTTGCAAATTTTGCTCAATGTTGAATATTTAATAAAGTGAATAATAGACTCAAATGGAGGCTGATAAAGTATTGAACAAATGTGACTATAGCCAAGTCTCTGGTTTCATCACCACTTCATCAAGCCAACAATAGGTTAATTGGTTTTGGTTAGAATGAGACAAAAAAAAGGATTCTGAGTGTATTCCCTCTGAGGGCAGGCAGCAAAAATCTTGTCTCTATTTTCTGTGGAGTAATGACTTCAGGCCTACTTAAAAAGTCTCTTTTCAACAGGGAACTGTCTCTTGCACAACCAGTATTTTCATGAAATGTGTCTGGTTTCCCTGGGAAATTTTGAAGTGACAGAGTAAGTCTGGTAAAACTCTCTTCCCCTCAGTTTTCTGATTTTAGCAGACAGCAAGAGCAGAATTTAGAAATTTCTGCTGGAGTTCCTCATGGGCACCAATGGCACCATGGACCACAGTGCATGAACACGGTGGATCGACCACTGTGTGTCATGGAAAGGAATCCAGGGATCCCTCCTTAGAGCCCAGTCCTAACCATGGACTTCCATAAGATACAACACAACAGCATTTCTAAGCCATTTTTAAGGCTAGTCAGGTAATTTATTATCAACTGAAACTGTAAGATTATCTTCAAATAGTATCCTGTACTGTGCCTCCAGATTCCACACCTGAAAAAAACCATTGGCAAGACAGTTTCAACTTGACTCTGTACATTCCTGTGCTTGAAACTTGCATTATCTTTGTTGTTAACCAAGCAGCTCAGGGGTTTAATCATTTATATTTCAGTCCACCATATGCTACACAGGGATGATGAGACAAAAAATGGTCGTCCTTCTTCCTACATGTATCTTATGTTGGACCTTGAGAAGAGCCTCTTAGAGCTGTGTTGCTATCATGGAAACTGTCTCCAGTCAGCTACAGGATTTCTACAGCACCCATTTTATGTCGTAATATCACAGTTAGTCTGTTATCCTAGACACATTGCTACAGCATTTAAACCTGAAGCTACAATCCTGTGGCTATGGGCAAATCCCTCATAAGGAAAACAAAATGAAAACAATGTTTGAAGGAGTCACCAAGGTCATTCTCACTCATTTTTTTTAAAAAGATTTAATTAAATGCTGATGTTCATCAGACATTTATTGCTTGCTCGGGCATTTTCTAAAGATAATCACAATTTTTTAAGAAAGCAAGTAACCACCCTCCAGGAAAAGGCAAGAACTTCTGCACTATCCACGCACACCAGAGAAAAGCAGTATCAGGGGCTCTGTGTTGTGAACAATTCACATCTAGGAAAATGTCCCTCTCATGCCTCAGCTATGAACACTGCCAACCTGGAGCTGCAGAGACATATTTCAGAGGCTGTATTTGCCCTACCAATTATGATGTTGTTCATCTTGCCGCGTTCTTTTGCCGCTTCGCTCTGCAGCACACCCTGAATCTGATGTGCTGCTAAATCAAACAGGTCAAGGTAATCTTCCACTGGGTAGCGATCATGAAATCCATCCCTCAGACGAATGATTCCTAAAAAACAGTGAAAAGAGAGAGGTTAAAAAAAAAAAATAGTAATAGCAAGGCAAGATTAACTGCTGGTGTAAACCAAGATGGCTTCATTGACATGGCTGGCACTGAGCCAGCTAACGTCAGCACAAAATTAGACCGATGAAGTGTAACACTCAGATAAAAGTGCCAATAATGAAGTAGCTGAGATTCGAGATACTGTACAATTAAGCCATAAATTCACAGTGATAGGAAATATCTTAAGTGTTCTGCTTTATAGTTCCTGCATGAATAGCTTGCATTTATTTTCTTCTAAATTTAGCTTTTGGAATTAATATAAAAGACCAGATTCTGCTTTCATTTGCACCAATATAAATTGAAGTAATATTGGACTCCCACTAGATTTAGTGTATGGAGATTGAGAACAAGCTCTGATGCCAAATATGCAAATCGACATGCACTTATCAAGATCAGAAAAGTGGGAAATCATTCATGTTTTTATCTTTCACAAGTATGACAACAAAGCTCCATGACAGTGTCTTATTTTTCTCCTCCCCTTCCCTACACTCCAGGGTGTGTTCAGTATCACCTTCTCCCTCCATTTCTCAGGAACCTGAACCACACCTGTGATTTTTATACTCCCTTTCCCACTCTTTTTTCCAACTCTAGTCTCACTTCTCCACTTTCTGTACATGCTGCCCATGCTTATTTTTGCATTCTTGCTTCTTACCATACAAGAGAGTTTCTTAAGCGGGCAGAGGTCAAGTACAGCAGTGGGAAGGCAACGGAGTAGGAGCAAAGTTAAAGAGTATAGAGCAGGACTTCTTAGCTCTCCCTTTCCTGTTCCCGCAAAGCCAAGAATTATCAATGATGTGAGAGGAAAGCTCAGCAAGGCAGTTCTTTTGTCCATTCCCTCTGATTTTCCCCTTTAGGAAAGTGGGATTTAATGAGGGTGCAAGAAAACTGAGCAGTGTATTTTGACTTGTTTTGAGGGGGGGAAAAAAAAGGTACATGCATGGTGCTACACTGTCTTGGTTTGTTGCCACCCCACTCATGGGAATAGAAATGGTGGCTTAAAACCAGGAAAGGGAGACAGTCAAGCTGGGACAAAGTCCTGCAGAGCATCAACCATCCCAACAGAATGGGAAAGCTGTGATTTGCAAAATGGGGCCTCCCCGGGAGGGCTGTTCATCTTCAGCTGAAATTAGTCAGTCTCATAAAAATCCACTGAATCAGAGAATGCCATGGAACAAAGAGACTTTCTTCTCCTGATAAACATTACAAACTAAACCAAGTTAATAACCAGGAGCATAGGAATCATACCCACTTGCTTATAAAGCAGGCTGTCTCAGTTTCAGTTGTTAGTCTATTTGTCATATTTTTTTCTTCTTCTTCTTTTTTTAAAAATAGTAACCATTAGCTAATGTACTGTTCGGGCAGAGAGAAAGGACTGAACCACCAGGAGCAAAACTTAATCTTCCATTCTCAATGGCAGAGAGCCTGAGATGATGATGGGAAGGTCATCTCAACAGATCTCCCTCCCATGACATCCCAAGCTCTGCAATCTTTCTTCATTCTTCAGCTTTACAAAATAACTTCAAAAAATTTAATTACGCAAAGAAAGTTCTCTTCAAGGACCTACACTTGGTCCCAGTGGCTGAGTGCAAGATCATTTAAGTGGAGAGTTTGTGCATGCCAGCACAGAGATAGGAATGCATCCTTGTTCTCAAATTATATGCACGCCAGCCTGATTTCTTACACTCTTCTGCCTGTTTGATAGGTCCAGTTCTGAGCTATAGTGAGTCCAGTCTTGCTTTAGTGACTCCAGTCTTGCTTTAGTGAAGTTGGATGCACTACTTCCTCCAACATTAATTCCAAACGTTTATGTTGAGGCTAATGTAGATGTAGAGAACTATTTAGTATAAAGGATTTTAGCCTAATGTATCAGTTCAGTTTAGCCTTTCCTGCCAGCATTCTCATGGAAGACATGATTTTCCACAGACAGTTTTGCTGACGGTCCCTGCATCTACACACCCAAAGCAGCATGGCATTCACGCTGGAACGCGTCCAAGTCTAAAATCCCTTTTCTTCCCTGATCTGACTTTTCACCTTCAGGTCAGGAGGTAATTCTTATCATTTGTCTTCAGTCAGCTGCTGACTGTGATAAATGAGTGCCTTCTCATGGGACTTCAGGGGCCACCACGATGCTTCTCTTGTTTGACTTTGTAACTAGCCCAGCTCCCCCATTCACGCTGATACCTCCTAGGAGTGTCTCCTAAACTGGACCAAATTATCTCAAAAGCAAAACTGTATTTTCATCATATTGCTTTAACTCTAGTTTATAACAAACATTTAGAAAATGTCTAAAAAAGTATTTTAGCCACTTTCTTATGGCATTTACAAAGGAAGAAAATACAAACACAGCAAAATTATTTCTCTATGAGAAATATGAAATCCAGGCTCTGTGGCTGAGTCTTGCTCCTCACTGAGCAGCGAGGATCAAAGTCCCCCTCTGCAGGAGCTCAGAGGTTCTTCTGGGCTCCAGGGTATGGGGAAGGGAGATGGAAATGGCAACACCTCATGCAGGAGAAATTAAGGAATTGAAGGTATGATCCTGAAATAAAGAACAGAAGCAGCACTGCAGGTGTCCCTGTCCCTCAGAAAGTGTCCTTCCTTGCTGTCAGCCATGGCAGTTCATTAGAAGAGATAGTTTCCTATTTCAAGGAAGCTTAGAAAAGCAGCAAAGGAAAGTAGTGATGTAAAGTCCTCATCAAATTATCTACACCACAGTGCTAGGTTTTTCCTTGTTCCAAAAGCAGTGTCTGCGTTGAAGCAACAGCAAATTGGAAACCGAAGTGAAGATAATGCCACTGTAAAATAACCAGTATATTCCTCTTGGAAATAGTAATATCACTGAGAAGCCTGTGATCTTTGATACCAAAGTCATACAAAGTGAGGGCATACCAGCACGTAACAGCTAGACCCAAGAGTGGGAAAATCCAGAGGCTGGGTGGAATACAGCAAGCATTATATGCTTCCGCATTTAGAAGAAAGTGCTAAGCACTCAGCAGAGTCAGGAATTGAAACTGAGTCTTTTGCATCTCATCTAGTCTCTAACCACAAGATTGACCTTCCTTGGTGCCCAGGGAAGAGAGAACAAGAAGGACGTAAACACTTCAGATGGATAAAATGATGTGCTCAGCCCCACGACCCTCAGACGCCCTTTGAAGGGGCAATCACGAGGAGTGGATGCGTCTTGCTCCAGCAAGCCATAACCTCAACTGTTCAAGTCTGCCTTCAGAGATGAAGGGTCAGTTCATGAAATATTGATGTCGCCCAGGAAAAGAGCATCAAAAACATGTGCAGGTTCCTCGGTGTGAGAGAGCTTTCTCATGCAGAGAGCGTCTCTACTGCTCAGTGCTTGGCTAGAGCTGGAGCACTAACAAAGCTCATAACACAAAGCACAGTTGTATTTATTGAACCATAAGGACTGAAGCCACCCACGTTTCAAATACTGACCCATCATTTATTCATGTTAGAAAGGCTTTACAGAATTTTGCAACACAAAGCTATCCCTGCTATTCTCTAAATTTCCCATCACAACCTAATAGTTTCTCTTCCTGCTTTTACAAATTCACAGGGTTGGTTTTATCTAGTGTTTTTATTTTTTTTCCTAGATTTTCCAAACCACTACAAATAAGCCAAATGAAATGTGCACCATCTCAAGGTTTAACCCAAAACATCATTAAACAAAAGCAGGCTGGAGCCTACTCAGCATCCATCACCTGGATTTTTCAAAACTATTAACTCCAGTGGTTTCCAAGGCAAGCCAATATGAAGCAAATGCAAAAACTTCATCCCAAATACGTACAAGAAATGTCAAAGTTTAATAGAGACAACTCGCCTGAATACCAGAGGACATGTTTTACTCACCAAACCGTTTTCTCGTCCACCAGTGTGGCTCTTTGATTGCTGAGAACCGAACATCAGGGTGCAGCCTGAGCCGGTCGTACAGGTCCGTTGTCCCGCACTTGGGCTGACCGATGATGTAGAAATGGGGGAGACAGCGCAGGCGGTAGTGTTTGTCTTTATAATGGTACAAGTGGTTCCAAAATACCTTCCTGAGGTAATCAAATATGGTTCGAAAGCGCTTTGAATACAGTGCATAGGAGTTTGTTGCATAAGGATCTGTGGTTGTGTTTCCTCTGTACTCTTCATACCAACAAGGATTCTTGCTATTTGGAAGGAATTTATTAGGAATTACTGAAAACATCTGCAACATAAAGAACAACAATTTCAGTCAAGGCAGCAAAAAATTGGGATGCTTTTCTAACTTAGCACAGTAAGAGAACACAACAAAAACACTATGTGGACATTTTTAACCCTTATGTTTTTTTAACTACAGTCACCCTAACTTATTTTTTCCAATGACCCTGGAACAAAATCCTGTACAAACAGTTGGTCTGGGAGAAGAGTACATTTAGAAATCCTTCAATTTTAAGGCCAGAAAGGACCTCAATAATCCCCCAACTCCCCTGCAACCTCAAGAATTAATTTTTAAAGTCAAACACATAATATGCAAATCAAATTAACTTCCAGTTTTTAACTGTCAAATGCAAGGTTTGCAATGACTGAATTTTCAGGGAGGCACACTGATAATCAGTTAATAGAAAGGCTCTTTTCTTATTTATCATTTAAGGTGACTGGCAAATATAAGTCAGAATGATTTTGCATGAGACAAGGTAAAAATTCAATGAGATTGCACAGCTATTGGAAGGCTGCCTGATTTTTTGTTTCGGGTGTCAAGACCATTTATGCAACTCATCTATTTTGCCCATGACTCAGAAGGATGTGATCTACAATATCAACTTTTCAGCTGGTGTAAATCAGGAGGCTCTAGATGGTGTAGATGACTATATGAACATCTGAGCAGTTGCACATTTTTATCTCAGTAAAACATTGACCCAGAAGTCTTGGAATAAGCAAGTACACAGCAGTTTCAGACACACTTTAATTCATACTTACATGTGGTTCTTGTTTCCTCAGCTCTTCTAAATCAGGGCGCTGTCTCGTTATAAACTCTATCTTTGAAGTAATAGTGTCAATAATTAATTTAATGCTTGGATAATCCTTTACATATGAAATATTCATTTTAGAAGGCTGGTAATGGTCTTTCATGTCACTAAGGCTTTCATTGTCCATTAGGCTTGGATTGCTAGTAAAAGCTCCGTAATGGAAGGGAGATGGGATTAACAACAGGCCATGCTTGGCTCCAGTCAGTATGTAGGATGCCATCACTAGAGTCATTATAATCAACCCAAATATTAAGCTGCATAGTTTCCCCTTCCTCAAGCAGAAAAATCCATTCCAGCTTTCACTGTGATCAGTCCTTACTTCCAGAACTGCAAGCAACTTCATCTGCTTGCTATCGGTGTACAAAGGGATCTTATTTTCTCCTTTGCAAACAGGACACTTCTGGTTATTATGATTAGGTCCACGGCATCTGAAACACTGTCTGTGCAAGTCATTTGGTAATAAATGTATGCAACAATTAATGCAATACCTCATATTACTACTGTTAAACTCCTGTATTAATGAGCCAAGCACAGCCATAAAAATGTTGCTGAAGCATATGAGTCATCTTCTAAGGCTGAAATTCTTTAATTCCTTGAGTGATTCTATGACTACTCAGCAACACAAGAGCACAGGTTCAAACCAGAATAGTTAAAAACACTCAAAAAGTGACATATGTCACATAAAAGAAAAAAAAACCCAACAACCAACACACAAAAATAGATGTACTGTGGACGTGGTTTCAAGAATTTGGCTCAGTAGAGGAATGTGATGAAGTAAGAATCAGCTACACCACTGGCTCAAGTTTTTCCCATTGAACAAAACGAGAAGGAAGAAAAATTGTTACGTAGTGTGAAAATATACAAAAAATAAAAATAACTCATTGTTCTCTGATTTATGTTGGAATAGGCAAATATGGGTAGAAATTCCCAGGTATTCTTAAAACAAGCGCATTCCAAACCAAACCGCTGCTAGTGGAAGCTTCATCTTCCCAGAGGTGGTTTCAAAGATGTGCATTGTACAACCTAAAGAAATAAAAATATATTTATAGATACACACAGAACAGCAGATGTAATGTCTACATTCACCTTCATTCAAAGCCATAGCAAACTACAACTTACCACAAGTAATTTCACAACTCTATTTGAAAGATGTCTTCTATTTGCCAAGTACATTAATTACAGCACTCACTCACAGCACTCACGATATTAAACCCAGGAAACGTTTGGCTTCAAGTTCACAGTGAGTTGCCCTTTCTTTTCAATTACCTGTCTGCTCACATCAACGACCACAGGTAACACTGGACGACTTCCCTCAGCTGCTCACTAACCTATCTAACAGATCTGAATCTGCTCTTTAAATATGGAAGCATTTTTGGACAGTGTCGAGTAACACAGGTTTAAATATTCAGCCTCTATCTGTGCATAGGGACCCTAAATTAACTGTCCTGAAGTGGGTTAAGAAACTAGTTAAGAGGACAAGGCAGGGATAAAATAACAGTCTCCTTTCAAGTCTATTAGATAAAAAGTCAAAGAAAAAACCTAAAAGGCACAAGTAAAACATTCAGCAAATTGATGGGATTAAATAATAGACACGAGGAAAGGCTTATGACAGGATCTCTGGTTTCTGGACCAAATGATTCTGGGATGACAGTAGCCACCCACGACGCAAGTACAAAGCCACCAAGGTGCTTTCAGCACTATTAGCCAAATAGATTTTGGAAACACAGTAGTCGCTAAAAATGGCAATAGGTGTTACTTAAATGAAATGTGCAATCAGTACTGCAGCTTCAAGGCAAGACCCTGGCTCCAGCAAATCCTCTTAATGGTGTGCACTTTGGTACGGGAGAGGTCGTACAGAAACCGCAGGAGTGGATGTCCCCTTGCTACAAGGCAGCCACCACGGGCAGGGACTTGAGCACTTGTGTGTCCCATGAAGGTCTCCATGTCCACACAACCAGAGGCTGGAGCACCCTGCTGCACAGGGTATGCGCCATCCTCCTTTAAAGACTTCAACACCATGGCTGCTTACAGCCAAAAGGTGACCAGAGCTGTTTAAAGTATTTATGTCGAGCTTTGGTCTTGGTTTGAGCACGTCCATGCTTGGCTTTCCAGGCAGCATTCAGAGCAGAAACACTTAAAGCTACAAATACATCATCAACTTAAGAATAGTCTTAATTAAAGCATATTTATGCATAGCTCCTCTCGAATTTCTGTTTTCACAGTTTATTAAATACCTTACTGGAACTACCCACATTTTAAGGTCAAAATCAACTCTATTTTGAGAAGCCAGATTATCAAATACAAAAGTTCACAGAAAATATACCTTCTACACACCAGAAAATATTTTTATGTTCTAGAATTACTTTTCTGGGGGAACTAAAGACAGGAAATTGTTTTAAAACAATCTTGAAAAGTCAGAAGCAAAACAATAAACCTGCATAGGATGAAAAGGAAAAGAAAAAGATGGGGAAAACCTAAGGGACAATAGGAATGTATGGCTCTGATGGGCAACTTCTATTTTGGGTTTTGTCACCCGATAAAGACAGAATTTCCCTTTAGTCCCTGGGAATGAAGATACCTTAAGGCTCCAGCGCTGTGATGCTCCTTGTCCGATGTGGACACTCCTGAAAGCAGTGACCCAGCTCCCCCCCAACACCTCCATTTCTCAGCATCACCCAGGACCTGATCTGCCAAACCCCACTTTTCGGCCCTTCTGCAGACAACCCCAGTATTAACCTGAGTAGTTACACTGAAGGTTCAACAACAAACAGTTGTAACCATATTGTGACTAAGAGGTTCAACATTGCCTCTGAAGAACAGGAAAAGGACTGCTCCTTCCGTGCGCGGCCAGTGAAGGGCATACAGACCCCGCAGATAACATAAAGCACTTTATTGCAGATAAAACAAGTTGGAAGAATCCAAGAGCATGACAGCTTTACCTGAACAGAACAATAACTTTTGCCTAGAAGATTATGGATGATTAAATGCTAATTAATTAAATTATTTTTCAGATTAAGTTAATCCGTGTTTTAATTAACTTCACTAGACCAGAGACCCAGCTCATTACTTTATAGGATATCTAAAGGTCCAACATTCACTTTTACTACTTAAATGAAAATACATTTTCCAAGTTACGATGTTTGACAATTCACTCTTACGAAAAATCAGTGGTCTATCAGATGAACATAAAAACAATCTCATATAGGTACAATTCTCCTAGCTAAAATACACCTCGGTAACCACATACGACTTTTTTTCTCATTACTCTTTGCAAGTGGCTCCTTCCTCTGGACCCACACTAGTTGCTCCTTCTCTACAAAAATCCATCTTTCCTTTTAAGCTCAGAAATGTTTTTTTCTGCATTGTTTCCAAATATCCTGCTTTCTTCCCTATCCTGCAGTGCCCTTCATTCCACCCAAAACCATCTAACTTAACTGATCCTTTTCACACTTCTGTCTTCAGCATAAATCTTCCTGTCTGACTTTGTCCCTTGGCTCCTGAGAAACAACACAGACTTACACATTTCTGAAGAGCACGTTTGTGTAATGTCCAAGACACCAACAATGAAAATAATTTCTCATGACGATACAATGGATGTGCAAAGGGTCCTCTGATTACTCTACAACACACAAGATCATAGAAGTATAATCATTACTAATTATAAGTCCCAGAATTTGGCTCTTTTGCCTTTAGCTCTTTCAACTCTTCTTTTGAATTCTTAAGAAACATTGATATAACTCTAATAATAACTCCTGGCTCATTCCTACAAAAGTGTCCAGGTCAAATGGAGCAGTGGCTTCAGATCCTGCATTACTCACCATTCTTCTAGCTGCATTTTTGTATGAGACAAAGCACTTTTGTAAAATTAACTGTATTCTTGATATTTCTCCCACCTAATACTGTCACATTTTGGAGAAGTTCTGCAATCAGAGCAAGCAGACTGTATCTCAAGGGCTCAAGAATAATTATTTAGATAAATACTGAATGAAAGCATTTGCAAAATACCTTCCTACAAAAAGAAGTTCATTTCCTTAATGAGTTTATTCTACAAGTCAGATGAGGCAGACAGAAATCATAGCATTATCATTACTGACTGCATTTAAACCAAAGGGAAAGAAATCAGTGTAAGACTTCTCAAAGAAACTAGTCTTCAAAACTTCTCTAAAAAATGGGCCTGTGATGATTTTGACAGAAGTCTGAATGATTACAGAGACTAAATCAGATTCATATGTGTAATATTAAAACCGGAAAGTTCATGCTTTCTTATACACAAAATATCCCTCCCCCAAATGAATGTCCAAAAGAAAAAGAGAAGCTATGGAAAGGCAAGAGGAGAGAATGATCCAAGATTTAAAGCAAGAAAGAGCTCAACAGTTGTCTGAACACAACCAATGGTCCTAATTGCTGGAGAGAAGGAGGATGAAAAGGGGAGGTCCTGACAAGAAGTGGAAAGTTTCCTCTTTGCAAGTCAACATTTCAGGCGGCAATAAGACACCTGAGCAAAGACTTTCAAAGAGGAAGCAAAGGAGGCACAGGGAGACTGAAGTAGCGTGAGGGCAGATTCGGACATCATCAACACAGGTAATAGAGGAAAGCATGAAAACAAGAGGGAGTTCCCAAAAAAAGACTGTAGAAAAAGAGAGGATGGAGATGAGGGCCCTGGTAAGAAAAGATAAGAAAAGAGAGGTGAGAAAAGCACCTCTTAAAAAAGATGACCAAAGAAAAGGCTACAGGTTACAATGGTAGCTATAAAAAGATCCAGTAACAAGGAGATACCCTACAGCATCACTTCCATTAACTTCATCATGTGCTACACGTCTGTTTCCGTGTAATCCTTCCACCCTGAACTCCTCCACTTTGACACGCAGCAAGTATCTCAATATTCTCCCAGGCCTCTGCTCTCCAGAGCTCCTTGCTGTTTATTTTCAGAGGGACTAGTTACTATGCACTGTCTATTCAGAGAAAACGTAAATCCATTTTATTTTCCAGTCCTCTTCTAAGGGGATCTGAAACTTGCTCAGTGATACTGATCGAACCGATTTATCTGAGATAGTCTTACAGAATCAGTTCAAGACTTGTGTATTTGACATTCATTCTCAAGTTTTTAAACAGAGCCATCAGAGATATATTAATGGATACAGGGCACAGGATATTAGAAAAACCACATAATCTTCTCAGTCCTATTTTATGTCCATTTGTATGTTAATAAAATGAACTGCAATTTATTGAACCCTTCCGAGGTGCAGACACTTCTCATGAAACTCCATTACAAATATAACAAACTCAAGGAAAAACCATGTTAACTACATCTTTGACAGCTGAAGAAAATGCTTTATCAAGAAGCTGATACAAGGAGGGGAAAAAAAAAAAAAAGAAATATGCTTAGGCTACAGTAAAACTGAGATCTTAATCACACCAGTCATGCGGGAAAATTTAAAGTTCCACCAGTAAACATAACTTTGCCAGTTTATGCATACACACTACAACAGGCTGCTTAATTAGATGATCAGTTTGACAACCTACCATGGGCAATATGACATATTACTCAGCTAATAGAACAAAGAAGCTGATTTTATTTTTTTTAATAACTGCTAGTTGCAGACATACCATTTTACATGATTTTCCACTGTCATGTTCATGTAGTAAACACATAAAAGTCAGGATATAATTCCCTACTGCCACTCCCTTCTCTTTACCAAGAAGTTTTTAATAAAAATTCATTCCCCAGCCTTTTACCATGCAATGACGGAGGCCCACCAGAAGGGCAGGATCTTTCCGCAGCATAAGCAGCCCTCGTTTTCCTCATTCACCCCATGAAATCAAGACATCTACAATATCTTTTTGTTTGTTTGTTTCTTCCACTCAACATTTCCAGTAGTCACAACCACAGATATACTTCGCCTTTTTTGTATTTCAATATAGAAAGCAGAAGGATGTGAATTGCAGACAGAATAAAGGTTATGAGATTTGAGTTGGTAATAAACCATTTATGTCATTTCATATTTTAGTTGTAAAACTGCTGTC